GTCAAAGACTAGACTGAATGAATGTGGTGACTGGAATACTGATCCAGACTGTCGTTAAAACAAGATGCTGGCTGACATGGGAACTGGAGAACTTCCAATTTAATAAGGTTAAATGGATAGTTTGACATTTCAGTAAACAGGTTTATTGCTTTCTTCACAAGGGGTAAATGAGAAGATGATGCCGCTCTCATATCTGTCCATTTAATATGATGCTGCAACTGCTGAGTTTAGCTTAGAATTAAGATAGAAACATGAGGAAAACATCAGGTCTGGCTCCGTCCAAAGGCGACAGAATCCACTTATGAACACCTCCATAGCTCATTAGCTAATTTCATGTAGTCTGGAGGTGATGACTCCCAGAATCCATTCACATCTAGTGGTGTGGTTTCTAATTAAACAAATAACATCATATTGAGTGAACTTACGATATGTTGGTAGGTGACATGGGTGTTTTCCCCCCATTTACACTCTTTGCTACAGGCTGCTTCATCTGTGTATTGGATATTTGTTGAACTGTTCCTCTTAAAAAGAGATAAATGCTGTCTAAACTTGTTCCTGTTTACGATGGTCAAGGGAAAAGTTGCAGCAGCAGATAAGTTTGCATGTCTAAGGCCTTTTCGCTCACGCATGTTTGATGAGTATTGCCTGAGTTTGCACCCGCAATGCTGTTGAAAATTGAAAATTTGCTATGCAGTCTCCAGACGAAATGTTTGAAGAAAAGAAAAGAAAAAAAAAAAACATGCAATAAATAAATAAATTACACCAAATCACAGAGATGCCGATTGGCACAGTACTAAAAATGGGAAGGTGAGGAAGTTTTTCAAATTTTCAAGTTATGGACATGCACACTGGAGGAAACAGTTGGACTGATAATTAAAGGCTCTAAAACATTAATTAACTCCATTGCCCTTTTGTCTGTCTTACACATTATTATTTAGTTTTTTATTCATTCACTACTTTAATCGCGGTTGTCAATCATTTTTGTCTCATTTGTAGTTCATCACCTATTTTTTTTTCATCACAGTTTTTCATTTACGCTGCTGGATTACTTCTTCTGTCAGTGTTGTGTCATCGATCGGTGCTGCCTGCCGTCTGGAAATACAGCCGAGAGAAAGAAAGAAGTGATTTGTGAAAAATATCACAGAGCCCACGGTGATGTTGTAATGATATGAAACATGTTTTATTATAAAAAGTTACGATGTCTGTTTGCACCTATGGTAGATGATAAACATTACGATCAGTCTTGAGGAATTAAATCTTAAATCAGTAACAACCTGAGATTCTTTGCTGGGATTTTTCGACTAGAGTAGCAGACCTTATTTTTAGACTGTCTGAGAAAACAGGCCCTGGAGTCTTAACCTCTATTGTTGAATTTCCTTCCTTTTCATAGCAGGCTGCGGCGCAGCGATTAGGAGAGCTGCTCACAGCTGAATCAATAACCTTAAAGAGCACCTTAGCATATGCTCTTTTTCTTTGAACTGGCTTTTACATTCTCGATTTCATCCAAATATTTCAGCACTAAGCCTTTCATGACACTTCAGCACACTTGCAATTCATTGGCCTTCCATTAGTGGTTACTTTTATTCAACAGTCTTTCTTCACAGCTTGAGTGTTGAAGTCATTTACTCACCTAAGCAGTGGAAGCTGTGTCTGTCTCGACTTTATTTTCTTTTATTTTTTTTGGTCCTTAATGGAATCAGGATTATATAGTTCAGTATTTTATTTTATTTTGTTCCTTGTTGAACAGATGTTAAAAGTGCAAAGACCGGCTAAGTAAGGAGTTGACTTCAAAGTCAAGTGAAGTGATGTTTAATGCATCAATGCAAACTGCAAACTTTGTTAACAGGAGGGAAGTCCGAACAGGCAGCGTCGTCCAAATGTGATCGACAGGCAAAAATCCAAAAGGCAAGCAAAGGTCAAAACTGGTTGTAACACCACAGCAGGAAAATACATGAGAGCATTTTTCACAGAGAACATTTTGACGTGTCACAGTAGGAGACCCACTAAAAAATAGAATTAATGATGACTGAATTCCATTTAAAATTTGCAAATGAACTGGCCAAATACTGCAGCTTCTAGGCAAAGAATAAAGGAAATACAGAGGAACGGGTGGGCTGGTGGAGAAATACAGGTGAAGAACAACTCAGAACTGGCTTTCACGATCACAGCATACAAGTTCTGTGCAACTTTCATTTGTTAAACGTCACATTTAGGAGATAAATCACTTTTGTTGGTTGAAACCATCAGTTTTGTGCTGATTTCATCTCGACCCTCCTGGCTTTGGTTCAGATGTGAACTGAGTTTAGTGATTTGGATCTTCTTCTTTTTTCTGGTGCTTCTGCAGTGATTGAAATGTGCATCAGCTGTTTGTTATTATGAATCTGACTCAGAATTTCACTAATTGATGTAATCAGTGAACATCATGCTGATGCAGAACAAAGACTTCTTAACATTTTCTGTTAGATACTCTGAATTTAGATGATTAAGTATCGTTGGTGGAGGTATTCATTCCTAATTTTATCCACTTTGTGGCTAAATTCATGGCCCCTATTGTGCTAACTGCTCTTGAAGTATTTATTGCAGCGAGGTCTGGTGCATATCAAATTAAACTGCATGACTTGTCCTGTCCAACGATGCTAATTGCTTGTTTGTGTGATGAAGAGTTTGTGAGAAAATCTAATTTAGAATTTATACCACACAACATACAGCTTTGCGTCCATCTCCACATTCATTACCCCAGTTTGAATTAACCATGGACTTGTCATGGTGTTGATGTATTAATATCCATAATGCCAACACCTGCACAGTGCAATTATGGCATTTGCCCAGGTTGTCACCTCTGCATGTAGGCGGCTGTGTGTGAATAAAATAATGAAAGTCGTTTCACTGAGCACATGTTTTTCCTATTTTCAAGGTCACCCAGGTTTGAGGTTCTGATACTACCCAGACAACTAGATTAAAAAAAATCTCTGCTGCCAGCTGTCTATGGTGAGACACATATAGGAAATATAATCACCTGGTGATCCTTTTTGTTTCCTTTGATGTAAAGACACATATAACAAATATGCAAGGATTATGTTAAATGATGATTCTGGATAGACAACACTGTTCTGAACAAAAAAACAAGATACAGCATGTATGGCTAGACCTTATAATGACCAAGATGAGAGCTTCAAAGTAAAGATTGTGAAATTACCCAAAGGTTAATAAATTAGTTTGAAGGAGAGCTAACTAAGCTACAGACATGATCATTTTCCCTTTTGGCAAATTGTTTGTTCTTCTCACAGATCACGCTGCTAATGTTCTGCTCAGGCAGTTTGTTGTGCAGTATTTCCCATATGATGGTGCTTAAGGTGCAATTGAAGTCTGCAAACATAATCATGCCACAGATGCCAGCGGTGTCCAGGTGTTCAGTTAACCACCTGTCAAACTGCATCTCATCCACAAACCTTAACTTTTACTCCACTGCTGAACTCTAAACCTCATTCGGGGGCTGCAGCTCTCGCCGAGGACACCGACTTCGTGCTCTCTGTTCCTTTGAATTTGGGCACTTTTAATAACCTGACAGCTTAGGATGTCTACATAATGTTTCTTCTCTTTCTTACGGAATTTCACTTTCCCAAAATCCGTGTGATGGCCCTGACCTTATTAAATTTAAGCCTCCAAGGAGTCAGGAGTCTGTTTTAACTCTGTGGAATATTTACCCAGGTTCTATTGCTGCATGGGCATATGTGTGCTCATAAATTAGAACACACACTTGTGCAGTCACACAGAGCATTTGCATACACACATGCTCATACATAAAAAAAAAACATTGGTTAATTATCATAATCAGCCAGAACAGCTGCGGCACTTGTTCAACAGAAAAAAAAAGGAAAAAAAAAACAACAACAACGCAGCAGCTTTAAACACAATATTTACTGTTTAAAATACATTTTGACAGGTTCAAGTTACAGGTATTGTACAGTGATCACATGATGGCAGTTTGATCCTCAGCTGGGCGAGAAGCTGACCTCAAACTGTTCCTGATGGTCAGACTACCAGCTTTCATTGTAGTTTGCTGCCATCTATGTGTAAATTGCTGAATTAGAGGCAAAATGTAAAGGACTTTAAAAGCTTTATAAACCATTTATGTACATCTAGCATAAACAAAATGACATCCATGGCGGATCACAGTCCGAAGAGCCCACTGCCACATGAAAATAGCAGATTTCCTCGTAGCACAGAGATTTGTTACATAAAATGAGAAGGTAGAGTCACATATAAAACATCGGCCTACTAAATATTACAAAGCCAAAAAATATGACTTCACACATTAAAGATTCAATGGCTTATCAATAACTTTGACACATTACTCAGGTAGCCGACAGTATTCATAGGCTGCATATATTTATTATAAGTTTCAGTGCACTCCTTTACAATATCACCTAAATGAGAAATGGTTCGGAATTGCATCACCTCTCAATAATTACATCACTTCTAAACTTTCTTCATCAAAGTGAATATTTTAAAAAGAATAGATTAAAAATACAGGTCTTGCAGTGCAACAAAAGTGGATACACCTGTAATTACAAAAAAAAAAAAATATCCATTTGATTTCCAGTTAGTCCTATGAGTCATAGTACCACTAATCGGAGCCGCCATTGCTCTTGTGCTAAAATGACACCATTGACAATCTGCTACTTGCTCTGAAAAAAAGGGGTACAAGAAAAAGAAAAACAAAAAAGACAAAAATGTTCATTTACAAGTCAGAGGGACATTGCACAATGTAGACCACTATGGATAGCTTCCGATAAAAATGTCTTTTCTTGCTCTTTGGCTCAAACTTGCCAGATTAAACTTTGCTAAAGATTATGAAAACAAGTCTGATGAATATTGGAAACACATTCCTTGGTCAAAAGAGACAGAAATGATGGGTTCCAGTATGTTTGGTGTGAACCCGGCCAGGACCACAACAGCGAATGCACAGTCCTGACAGTTAAACACGGAAGTGGGGGTGTGTTGATAGGGGGCTTCATGAGGGCAAATGGTGTTAAGGGAGATACCGTTTCTAGATAACATCATGAATGACTTTGTATATACCAAAATACTGGCTGACAAGATGACTCATAATGTGCAGAAGAGAAATATTCCAGCATGATAATGATCTACAATGCACTGCCAAAAGAAAAACAAGAAAAGTATGACCTCGTAACACTTTTGGGGTATTTTAAAGACAAAGGTAGGGCAACACAACCCCTTAACCCTGCAAAGAATGTGTAAAAAATGTTATGTGAAGCATGCATTCCTCTAAAGATCTGTGCAGCACACTGGTATCGTCCAAAGAGGATTGAATGTGTCATCAAAAATGAAAATGGACACACAACCTATTGTTTACCTTAGTAATAAAAGGTGTACTGACTTTTGCTGACTGGAGTTCCTACTGTGAAGCCTGTACTTTTTTTTTTTTTACATGGTAGAGCTAAACTATTAGATTTATTTTTACATAAGAGCAAATATACTACTGTTCATCTTAGAAGTAATGCAGGATTTGTAAGGTGATTCAGTTTCCTTGCATTGGACATTTAACTGATATTACACAGGAGTGTACTCAATTCTGTTGCATACTGTATCGTTCTAAAAATGAACTCTTAAGAAACAAAGTATTCCAAGCATTTAAAGGGTATGTACTAATTTGTGTACACAAAGACAAACAAAAATGTCAACCTGTCAAAACATGATATTAAACTTTTCTGAGTTACAGGGGTTTATGCAATAAAAAGCAATCCAAACAAAAACTGGTTTCAAAAGGTCTTAATACATTATTTAGATGATATTTGGCTTTTAGATCCCCATACCAACAGCTCCATATCGCCTTTTAGTTTCATTTCCCCTGACAGGCCTTTTTGTTTAAACTGAGATTCTGAGCAGAGTCTTCTGAAGTGCTGAATCAATCATTCAGAGAGGCATCGGACGAGTTATTTCTCCACGTTGCTTTCATTGCTGTTCAGCCTGTTCCAGGTGAGCTTGGTAGATTTCTGATTTCAGAAATCGTGGATAACAATCGTTTTCCATCAGACCATATATCAGTTTCTGTGCCCTGTCGAAGCAATTTGGTCCCGGTTGAGAGATATTTTCACTGATTTCTTCTCTCGTCACACAGTCAATGTTTATCTGTGTTCAGAAAAAAGCAACTTTTATTTCACCCTTGAGCTCTTTCTGTTTGGCTATATTTTACATTTTGATACGTTCAGAAAGTTAACTTCATTATGAAGTAGTAAAAGAAAAATTATGCACCACTGAGCAACAAAGAAAGGGAACAAGGCCTATAAAAAATGTTTTTAGTAACAGTGAGTGAGACCGTGGAGGATTGACAGAGACAGTAAGAAAGCCGGCAATTGAGGCTGATTTGAAGTTACACAGGTCTGACTTCATTCACTTCTCACTTTACAAAAGCCATACCTGTCGAGGCGCATCGACTTGGACAAACTCGGCGTAAATCCTTTTGGCAGCAACCGTCATTTCTGTCACACTGGTAGTTTTTTTATAGTCTTCGCAGGCCAGCCAAAATAGAAGGTTCTCCTCACTGTATTGCGTCCTCAGGAAGTCCTCGAACACCAGCTGGCCTGCTGCGCAAAGGGAACACAAACACTTTGGAGACACTTTCATTTCAAACATCTAACATGGTTTGAATTACACACATAGCAATCAGTGACTTAAAGTTTTTAAGGACCTGGCCTCCCATGAGAGTTTCTGTTGTGTTCAAATACAGGTTGTTTAGCCTGCAGCCAACTATACTGACAGACGCAGGCTGGAACAGGTTTACTGAGAGTTATATCACAAAACTGCTTTCTCATGGTACAATCACATTTACAATGCAAATATGTATTAGAACAGATAAACACTTGCCCTATATCTCCATGGAACTAGTTATTATCATGCAAATACACAAGCATGTACAGACATTACGGCAGCGTGACGTATGTTCATAGGTACATCGGCTTTGCAAATGTTTTATGAAGGAGATGCATTCATACTCCTGCGTTTGTTAGATTTTAATCAAACTGATGTCTAATCTTGTAGAAACATGCAGAGCTAAATGTCACAACATAGAAAATATGATCTTTTTGACCTTTGGTTGAGGTAGGTGTAATGTAATGATACATGTTCATTGTGCTCCATCATGAGTCACCACTGATGATTCAATTCTAGTAAAAACTGAGAAGTGTAGATAAAAGCTCATGATAACAGAGATTTGGTAATCAGTACCAGCCCATCTATTATCTATACATCGCTTAATCCTCACTAGAGTTGTGGGGGGGCTGGAGTCTATCCCAGCCAACTTAGGGCGAAGGCAGGGGACACCCTGGACAGGTCACCAATCTATCACAGGGCTACACTTAGAGACAGACAACCAAGCACACTCACATTCACACCTACGGACTATTTAGAATCACCAATTAACCTCAACATGTTTTTGGACTGTGTGGTGGACGGGGAGAACATGTAAACGCAGAAAGATCCCGGTGCCCTCACCGGGACGCGAACCAGCGACCTTCTTGCTGCAAGGCAACAGTGCTACCAACAGCGCCACCCTACAGCCCTAATCAGTACCAATGCCACTGAAATTTTAATTCTCTTTACCAATTTCAACAACATTGCAAAAAAAATAAAAATAAACCAATGACATCAAGGCATTTTTTAAACTGATCAGTCCTGACATGACTTGAGCCTGATCCTTTGCAAATTTAGACACATTTTTAAAATACTCTGCAGGATTTAAACTTGATTTAAACCCATGTGCTCTGTCATTAATGATTATTGTTGTTGTTGTGTGGAATTATATGTTATATTGATTTTAAAAAAAAGAAAAAGAGAGAAAGTGAGCTTTTACAAGATTGAATTTCCCTTCTGGGATAAATAAAATATTTTTCATTTCATTTTCATTTCATTTCCATTAAGCATCCATCCTTGTCTTTATGTCAGCTGCTAGTTAAAGCCCCCAGTGCTTCCTGCTTGCTAACACGGAGAAGCCCACAGCATAAATGACCATCTCCTCTGGTCAGTATCGTATTAAACAGAAAGGCACAACCAGGTACTACAAATAATCTAGAATACTTGAAGAGTTCATTATGTAGGAAAATCAAATCAGACTAGGGCTCGGTATCAAGGGATGCTAAATATAAATGTCTCAGATCAGATCAGGGGCAAAAACTCGATTTGGACAGCCTAATTTTAATATGTGCGCTTTTTCAAAAAATGTATAGCTTGAGATGGAGTTTTTTTAAATAATTAAAAAGTACTGTTAATAAAAACAACACTGTGCCAAAAAAAACCCCCGAAAACAATAAACTTTTATATGGTGGCAGCTTTTCTACTGCAGTGTCCGTTTGACACAAAGAAGAATGCATATGATAAACAAGCAAGGTAAAAAAAAAGTATTTAGAACAAATCGTGTGCTATAAAAATTGTTCGTCCTTGTGAGGACTTTGACGTGGGTTTTGTCATATTTCGTGAGCCTCTGAACATCTTCAAATAAAGGTGCTGTGTGAGTGTGTTGGTTTACTTTGTCTCTCCTGCTCAACATCCTCCTCATGCTGATGTTGTGAAAACACCATTTCTAAAACCCCTGAAGCTGCTGCACAGTGTGCTGACACACACACACACTCCACTATATGTTGACGGGCTGAACCCTATCAGTAGCTTACCAATGTTATCAGCAAAGCCAAGCTCACAGGAGGAGCTACGTTAGCCTCAACAAGCTAAGTTAACCTGAATGTTGTGAATGGAGCATCGCTACAAGTGACTCGTAGTTCACAAACAGTAACGCTTAAAGATGTCTGTCTTTGAGAAGCTTAGACCAGACTGTTGTCGACTACAATCCCTAATCCTTCACACTCCACACATCGACTTGGTAGTGAAGTGCTGGTTTTCATTAGTGTGGACCTTGAGTTGAGACTACTGATACCTGGACTTCCAACACTTAACCTACAGGAATCAGCAGCTCATTTGTTGTTTCCTCCCGTGTCCTCTTCACTTTGTGTCACCAGAAACTTTATGACCTCAGCTCTTTTTTTTTTTTTTCCTGGGAACTGTTGTGGTGTTGTGCAAGCAGGAACACAAAACTGATTAAAGTGTGAACAAATCGGACTTTAAAAAAAAAAAGAAGAAGTATTTCGGGTGAAAATCATAACACCAATGAGCCTTCACTAAAGGTTAAGCAATTCTGTTATCTTCTACTCACATTCTCCCTTCCTCATAACAGCGCTCGTACGCTCAAAGAAGTCAGCGAACAAAGAGACGATGCAGAAAACTGCCAGGTATTGTTGTGGATGTCTGGAGGCTCTTTGTAACTTCAAAACCTTCAAAACCAAACCCTGCATCCTGATGCACGCTGCCTCAGCATCATATAATTGTGCACACCTATATTTCTTGTTATCTGCTCCTCACACCCCTTACCTTTGTTATGGGTGCATTCACGGTGCTGTGATTCCAACGCAGGTGTTAAATACTTAGCACGTCTTCTGGGAGCACAAACAAACAGCTAACTGCGAGCACCAGTGTTATTCACACAAATTGCTTTACATAAATCACAGCTGGTGCTCTGACAGTAATTGACAGAAAACAAAAACACATCCAGAGGCCGCTTGTTCCCGTCTACAAATCACTCCATATCTGAGCCTTCAATCGACTCTTTAAAAATCACAGGAGATGTAAAGGTATATCAAAATGCAACGGCCACGTACACAGCTATTTATTTTTTTCTCCGCTGTTTACCTATTTGTCATATGTGTCACCGCATTCCTTCAAAGGGAAATGGAGCAACTGGGATGCAAGGCAAAATCAATCTTGTGGAGGGCAGTTAATCTTGACGCAGTAGACAACAGGCGAAAATATTACAGATCAGCTAAATTCATTTCAGTGCAGCAATGACAGAAGAAACACAGCAGACAGAGGGAGAGAGAAAGAGCTTATCTGCACCTTCTGTCATTTTCAAATAGAGGCCGGGAATATGGTCAGGTGACAGCCACGAGCGAGCGCCGGCTTTTATAGATGAATAAGAGCTGGTTGAAATCGCCCTATCTACACTGGCAGCTCAGATTACGCCTCTTATCTCTGCCCGTGTCGTCCTCCTTAAATATATCTCCAAATGGGTTTGATGAACTTGAGGGAGGAATAGATCCTCGATCCTCCTAAAGAAGCCCGAGGGTAATTCAAGACGATGTGCGGGGCCGAGCGGCAGAGAAACGAGAGGGTGAAAAGAGAGGATGGAGAATTGAGAGAGCTGCGTTTCACAAGAGAGCGAGGGGAGTAATTCCATAAGTGGCCTTACTTTTGCACTCCAATAGATGGTCGAATGACTCTGCCCATGCCATGACATCATTAACAGGAGCCCTGCAGAACAAAATCAGGAGATATGCATCTTGTCATTTAGCCGAGGTACATGCTGAGGTTGATCGCTGTCAGTGATAGCATGTCATTCATAAAAAAAAAGTAATTTGAAAATTATTCCAAATTCTTATCTACATGATAACATACATTAGACTAATTATCAGCATCTTATCTTAGTATAAAAATGTCATTTTAAAATGAACTGGTATGATTCATTATGTGAATTTATTAAAAAAAAAAAAAAAAAAGGAACGATGACTCACATCTTAGCTGATATTGGTTCTTAATTGAATCCCAGATACCAGATCAGTCAGTGTTGTCCTCTGGATGGGAGTCCCCTTTCTACCACAATTACATGAAGATGTTTTATAAAATGAGCAAGTTAAAGTTACGTTCTTCCTCATTATTAGCTGTGAATGAAGTATTCAGATCTTTTACCGTAGACTGTATTTAGGAGATGGACATGGCCACCATGTCGTTTCCCATTGGCTTGTGGATTAGAATTCTAAAGTCTCCAATTTGGAATTTGGCCGTTGCTATCTTGGTGTTCTTAAACCAAATGTAATGACCAACAGGGTGGATCTGACTCAGAACGTGAAGACACTATGCAAGTGATACGGCAGCAACTTGCCAATTGCAAGGTAGCCCCATGTTAAAATATACCGTGGTTTATCATCTATTTTACTCTAAATGGAACCATAATTTACTGAATGGACATCATGCTTTATTGAAGGAGACATGAAAGCAACAACTGAGACCATAAAGTCATGAGGAAAATGTTCTTAGGTAACAGATCAAGTGAGAAGTAGGATCATTTTCTCTTAGATTCCATGTAATACTACTTTGTTTGCAGTCAGAGGAGTCGCCCCCTGGTGTCTGAGCGTAAGAATGCAGGTTTAAGGTACTTCTGTGTTGGTTTCACTTTCCTACCTAGAGGCAGTGACCATTAAAAAAAATAAATGAATAAATGAAGTCTATGTTTTTAACTTAAAGTAGCACTAATACATATTTTTATTCTGAGAATGTAACAATTTACTATGTGAAATATGAAGATAACTTTAGAATCTTACAGCTCCTATCAGCTCTCTGAGGTAATGCAGCATTGCTTAGCTGAATGTTTGGGTTTTATTGCCTCCAGCAAGATTTTGTTAAGATTTGGATACAAGTTAAGGATTAGCTGTTGAATATAGTGAATCATTTAGCAGCTAAAAAGACATTTCTTCTCAAGCGTTAATGGGGACCAGCGCAGTTTATAATAAAAAAAAAAAATAACCCAAGAACAATTTTAATCACTAATTTGTGATTAGTCAGAATCACTCTCACAGCCTCAGAAAAAAATTGCATATTTTGCTTCAAATCAAGTTTTTAAGGTGATAATGTCACTACAAGATTGAAAAAAATAAAGAAAAAAAGCATTGAATCTAGGAAAATTATTAATATCACAGTTTTAAAAAAACAAGTCTAAACATAACAAATAAAAGTTTTGCCTTCAAAATTTAATTTGAATAAATGTGCAAAAGACTCATTAAGGTGGATTTTCTGAGTTAGTTTGAAAATCTGTCAAATACCTCACATTTTGTAATAAATAGATATGCTTGGCTTGTTTTCCACAACAACACAAAAGGCTGTGATTAAACACTTGTCACTTGGGCCCCTGATGGTTTACCTTGATCTTTTAATAAGATTAACATTCTACAGGAGTCTGTGGAGATTTGGTTCAGTAATATTTACTGAATTATTATTTTTTTCTAAGTTTAATTGTAACTTGTCTGCAGCGAGTAAGATTTATGTCAGAATCTCTTTTTATGCCAAACTAGCGGCATCCTCTTGACATTAGTTTACATGTTCGAAGAGCCTAAATTGGATGAAATTTTAATGATCCCTGCGGGGAAACTGGGTCGTTGCAACAGAGAATCAGATAAGAATAAGTCAGAGCTGTGAATGTTATACAAGGAATTACAGCAAGTGAACATACTGAAAAGTAGAGCAAATAAATAAAAAAATACTCCACTGACAGGCTCACAGGCTCAAGTGCTTGTGCAAGACCTGCTCACATAATCTGATGTGTGGATGCTATAAGAGCGACAGCGCAGATTATGTCGATGACAGATCTAAATATGCATCGTACGGAATCAAGTACAGGAGCTTCCTGCGTGTATGGAACTATGTTATTTTTATCTGGAAGTTATGACAGCTCCCCCGAGTTCTGTTAAATATGTTGTTTTTTTTTTTACAGTCTTTACTGTATATTCCCACAGGCTCTTCTAATGCTACGTGAGATAACAGCAACCTACATATTCAAATAACCCTTGGTGTGCTTAACATGATAGCAATTACTTGATGTGCTTGTAGCAGGAATGAGTCAGTAGTAATGCAAAAATGAATATGGAACAAGTAGATTTATGTAAATAGAATGGTGGGAACTTTTTATAGTTTTATCTTAGGGAACATAGACACATGATGTTAAGTCACCGTGGGTCTCATTATAGTAACAAGGCAGTTCATTTGCACAGACTACCTGTGATTTTTGCACTGAAAAAAACAAAAACAAAACAAAAAATCATAGTCAAACATTTGCAAATTCTACAAAAGAAAGGAACCACATCCGCCACCGCAGCAGAGAAGACGCTAAAGGTGTGTTTACAGCAGCTGGAAGACAGAACTCCAGAGAGGAGAAGCTCTCAGCCGTCCTTCTGCTGAAGATGCATGTGTGTGAATGTCTACATCATTACTGTACTGACACCTCAGCCCATTAAATGGCTATTATGATTGCACTTTGTGCCAATACATACGAGCCAGCAGGGACATCCTCCAGCTTCTGTAGATAACAGAAAGTAGCCTCAATAACTTTTGCAACCTGTTGTGGTTTTGTTAGCTTTGTAAAGTGAGTTAAACGTATTTTAACCAAAACTGTGATCCTTTCTAAATCGAACCAATTAGTTTTGGTACTTAACTTAGACAAACACAAAAAGCGAAACAAGACTAAAGTAAAAAAAAAAAATCTGACTATGACAGACTAAGATGAGACTTGGCAGATTTTCCCTACCACCAACGCCTCTAACCACCAAATGTGGATTTTTGTTGCTCTTTTAATGTGGAAAGCTGCTCAATGGGTTGATAATGGCCTACAAGAAGATGGAAGAGGTCCCTACTGGCCCTTACTGAATGTATGGGAATACTGCCCAATGATAATGCTCACATAATGTTATGAGAACATTCAAGAACCGGCATCAAAGTGTAGCAGATTATTTGTGAGGACTATACTAATTACTTCCCACTTACAACAATGTTTACTCACAGGTATATTTTTACTGACATTCTTTTTACATTCATCTGAGCACATTTTTTTAAACAAGGGGATTTACTTTAGATTTGTTAAATTTCTTTAAAGTAACAGTACTTAAGTGATATTTTCCAGTATGAACCACTTACAGCTGTCAGTATTGAGACACACAATTCCAAGAACATCAAGACCACTTCCAGATACTGGCACTATTATTATTATTATTATTATTACTATTTTCCTCCGGCTTGTCAGTAAGCCAACAGCACCAGCCTGACTCTGTCAGCGAGGCATCAGTACCTGGAGCAAGACTGCTCCGGGCAGCACAGTCCAGCAGCCTCCAGCAGCAGCAGCAGCAGCGCCAACACCGCTGAGGGACTGTCACACGGTCCTTTTTCTGCTGTGACAGCTGCCCAACTGCCTGAGAATAACAGACAGGTGCTGGAGACTTGTGCTGCTAGCAAACTAGCAGATTTTCTGTTATATTTCCATCAGATTCTGGTGAACCGAATGCTCTTTATTTTTGGTCTAATCCTGTGGATCACTCAGCGGGAGGCTTGCGTGCGACAAGGTAGCTTAAAATGTCCTTGAAAGATGAAGATAAGCGAGGAAACACACGCTGATTAGCCACGGTCCTAAACAGGTTTTTTAAAAATGACTTGTTTGCAAAATTCTGTTCTTGATTAATGCCATGTGTTCAAGAACGCTATACTGTTTAGAAGTATTAATGAGAGGCCCGGACACAAAAACAAAGGCTGCAAAAACAGCTGCTTTAGATAAATATGGAAAATGTAAAAAGCCTGTACAACAGCTTACTTGCTTTTCTCCTCACTGAGTCCTCTAAGTCTTTAAATTTTAACAGGAATTTAGCTCACTTGCCAAATCACAGTTGTCCTCAATCACTCAGTTCTTAAAAGTCTTGATAACAGAAAACAAATTGCTTAAAAGTTGTTCAAAACGCCTTAAAGTTCTACAGCTTTGACAGTGCCGGTTTGAACTGTAGCCTCATGTGATGCACTATCACACAGTCCCTCAGAAGTAAGGGACAAGGCGTCAGAAGAAAAGGTTTTATCCTCATGCAGGCTCTCATTTTTTTGAATTGCATCATATAGAGCACAGTGCACATTCAGCTCAAAGAATTCTAACTCATCTCTGGACCTTTTTCATGTCTTCTTAGGCAGGGAAGGAGGGAAGGGAAAGACAGCTTGCAGGCTTAGTGAGAAACAGAGACACGCAGAGGGAGAAACTTCCAATAAAAACTGCACAGATCACAGGAGCCCCATCAGAAACACCTGCTCGCCGAACGCACAGACGAGACGGAACCATCCGCTAAACACATCCCCGGTTTTATTTTAGCAACATGCTCCCTGGCTGGGCAAGATCAGAAAGAGTCAGTCATTACTGGAAAAACAAGGCAGACCGTAGGGAAAGCGAAACATTCAGCATGTTAAGCAGCAGCACGTTCAGTGACAGACGACAAGTTTGTCCAACGTCCTCAAGCGTAAAGCCAAAGCTGGTTGCGGAGCTCATACTTACGACATGTGTTTTCTGTTGCCAAAAAGACTGCAGTATGTTTCCTTGTTGTGGAAATATGTGTTCAACCACTTCTCAGGCTTCTCTTTTCTACCTGACTTACCCTTCAGGTACAAGTCTGTGCATGTTGAGTTGCGGTGCAGGCGTGCCCGGGGTTTACAGAAATGTCAGTTTTTACTCCTCACTCTTTAACCTTCACCTCCTTCAACAGAAATTCATCTCGACATTTTGGCCAAACATTTTTTTATCTTTTCATGTTGGTGTCCTCTAAAAGGCAGAGATGGCACAAAGGTAGAAATGTCAAAAATGATAATGAAAGAAGAAAAAAAAAACAAACAGAAGACCTCAGGAAAATCATTAGTGTACAGTGTTAGGAGTCGGGAGACAAGAGGGCACGGCTGTGACTAATCCTGTTGCTGCGAGCCTGAACGGTGGTTTGGCTCGGATCATGCATCTGCTGTGGGAAGTGTATCAGAGAAATAGCCGCAATTACAATAACAGCAGTGTTTTTTTTATTCAGAATGTAACATAATGACTCTAAAAAAGGTTGATTTAACCATTAATTAATACAAACATTATAATTACATGGTTCAACATTTTGTTTTCTACCTTCGCTGTGTGTAGGTGTACAGCTCTGGGTTTGTTTGTTTGTCTTTTTTTTTCCCTGGAAGCAATTTTTAAAACTGAAAGCAAACTCAATGATAATGATTTACAATTCAGATATTATGAGATGGTATGAATTAGACTGAAGGGTAAAAATGAACGAGCAAAGGGTAAGAAACAACGCTGTAATTTATGAAGCAAACATGGAATTTAGATTTACGGTTGGATATTTAGTAATTAGCTCCAACGATCTCTGTAGGCGGCTAATCTGGTTAGCAGGTAGCCGATCGTGAAGAAACTATTATTAGTTTACAGAAATGAACAATCACAAAACAGCTGCATTATAAAGTGTACTGGCTTCAGCAAAGGCTTCTAGGGAACGGGTTAAAAAAACAACTTGTAATAGGTGGCCTTCCACTGCAGCAAACTAAGACAGGCCGAGGAGGAGCAAACATTTGTAGAAATAGCCCTGTAATCATCCCTGTCAGCCTCTCTGTTGTGTAAGATAAGACGCTTCAGCTGCGACATTGAAAGCTAGTGCTTTAAAACAATGATAGACAGTAGTTACTGGCTGTAACCACAGTTCTATGAGCACACAGGGGGTACGTCAACTGTTTTACGCTGTTGACGGTTAATGTCAGAGGTGAGAAAACCACCAGCTAACGAGATCAATGAGAGGACAGAAAACATGGATCTTGCTATGAGTTGAACCAACCAGCATTTGTCTCCATCACGTTTAAGCAGCTGCTCAGAAGTACTACACCTAGAGTAGTTAGTTTATTTGTTTTTACAATTTACTGTTATTTTACAAGTTTCCCGTGTTTTTTTTTTTTTTTTTAAGAATTTAATTTAATTTAATTTTATTGTATTTTATTACAGGTAATAAGTAATAAAATTACAAATTAGGCCAAAACTGTAAATAATGTCCACATCAAAAATCTGTATTATTACAAATGGGATTTTGATCTTGTCTGTCTCTAAGTGTAGCCCTGTGATAGACTGGTGACCTGTCCAGGGTGTCCTCTGCCTTCACCCTAAGTCGGCTGGAGGCTCCAGCCCCCCGCGACCCTAGTGAGGATTAAGTGGTGTATAGATAATGGATGGATGGATTTTGATCTTTTGCAACATTTAGTCAGGAAATAACAATATTTTCACTGTATTTAAATCAAGTGTTTTGAGAGAAAGAGAGAGAAAGCAATGATTTTACAGATATTTACTATTGTTTTCACAGTGTTTTTTTGAACATTACTGAGTTCCACCATTTTATTTATTTTTTTCTGGCACTCTTGCTGTTTTTTTGTTTTTTTTTAAAATTTATGTTATCTATTTCTTACACTAAAAAAACAGCCTGATCACATATCTGACAAAGTGTCAATGTAGCGCTTTCAGTTAAATTATCGCTATAACCCGTAGTGATTAAGTGAAACCAGCTGCTGGTGGCAAAATGTTCTATTTCCCGCTTTCCTATGGCTGTAAGGCTTAAATCCAATCTATTTTGTCATGTCTAACTTGTATGGAGGGGTGTGTGACTAGGTTTTTGTGTTTACTACTAGTCTTGTTTACGACATTCCATGGTGGCCAACAAATCATCTTTTTAAAAAATGCTCTCTGTTCCCACATACTGGCCTATTACTTGCAATAAACTTTATTGGAAATGCGATGTTTCAGTCCTTAGACTATAATCATACTGTGACCCAATGAAGGTCTCAGGACTGAAATGCATTTTCAATAAAGTTTACTGCAGGCAATAGGATAGTTGCAGTCGTGTTCTCTCTCTCTCTCTTTACCTGTAAATATTCCCTCAATGACACCTGTCTCCAAGAACTGTAGGTGTGCATGAACGTTCACAGCCCAGAATCCTCCATATTGCCTCTGTGTTTCCTTGCCAGGCCCTTGATGTCCACAACAAAGTGATGCTAATGGTGACTGATATCTGATATCACTGAGGATGCAGCTGTTAGTTAATACCACGGCTTTGGCATAGACTTTCAACATCCAATGCAAAATTAACTGAGAAAAGACTACGATTTGATGTCAATGTTAGGCTCGGGCCTATTCAAGCCAGCTTTTACTCTAACTTGCCCATTGTCAGTTCCTTAAACAAAGCTTGGCTACTTAATTTGTACCCTTCTTTTTTCTAAAAAAAATAGGCTGAATTAAGCACTATCACAGCGATATCATGACACAATAGAGAGAGTGCTCCTTGAATCTGAGAATTATTTTTAAGAAAAACAAAAAAAACCATGTACTTGGGAACCCAGGTTAATATTCCTGCCTTCTGTTTAAAAAATTAAAACATCTTCACTCACATGGCAGTGTGATTAAAATTAAACCAAAAGCGCTATCAGCTGCGCTTTAGTAATCCTCAGGGTTAGCCATATTTATTATTAATTCCTTTGTGACTTTTTCATTTTAATAATGATCCCATTATTTAATAGGATTTGTTTCCTGAAACAGCAAAGTGAGGGATCAATCTCAAGTATTAAAAGGCAATGAATCACAGAGAGAAAGAGCAGCAAAGTTAATGCAGTGTCTCAGTGCAACCTCTTGTTTTTTGCAATAATGGAACATGGCAACTTTGGTATTGTGACAGAGAGAGAAAGATGGTGGTTACTGCAAATAAACTAGAATGAAAGCATGGTTAGGATTAGACAACATTTTGTTTGCCTGAAAATAACCAGGGAAGTATTGTAGTTATAGTTACCAAGAAAACCCATGTTCATATCCATTCACTAATGCATACATGCATAGAGCAGGTTTTAGGAACTAAAAGTAATGTGAGGATGCTTTTATAAACAAAATCAAACCAATAATTTGATGTAGTCCCTCTTTTGCCTTTAAAACAGCACCTCTTCCACCTGGTACCCTTGTGCACTGTGTTTCAAGGTACTTGGCAGGAACGTTGCTCCAAGCATCTTGAAGAACTTGTACAGTTTTTCTGTGGATTTAAGCTGTCTTAATTGGGTCTGCGTCTTTGCGTAATCCCAGACTGATTCGGCTCATTTGTTTCACTGCAGACAGTTCCTTATGACTCTGGCTGCCTTGTATGGTGGAAATGGCAAATCCACACACTGTCTCTCCGATGTGTCTGTTTGATGGCATCCTCCTCCATTTATATCTACTAGCTTGGATTGTCGATCAGTTAACAAATCATCTACCACATTGACATTCAAACCTTGTCTATGGTACTTTCCAGTTCACTAAACTTTACCAAATGTTGACACTGGGTATAAATTGTGAGGCGTGAAATTGCACAAACATAGACGCAATCCTTATGTTTCCATAAATGTTGTCATCCCACCTATGGGAGACAGAACCTTCAATGATATATGCCTTGTTTTTGCATGCAATTCCAGCCCTCACCTGTGTTTATAGCACAGCATTTCCACAACATGATATTGGGATCTATTCCCTTTGCATGAACTAGGCATCTGTACAGGAAATAGGAATCTCTTTGACCCAGTTCACACAGAAGCCCCGAAAGCATCAAACTCTCTGGAGAGAACCATCAGCAGAAAGAGGCAGATGCTCAAGTATAAGGCAGAGGTGGGGTGCAATGTCCTCATCTAACACCGAGAGAGAGAGACAAGGAGAGGGATGAGGCTATGAAAATGACTGATGGGAGCACAAATGGCAGCGCTGTGATCAGGAGGGAAGAGGAGGAGGGGGAGCGGAAGGGAGACGAGGGACAACGCTGACAGCTGAGCGGGCCTACCTGTCCGCCCATCTCTCGTTTTCTGTCTTGATTTGCAAGTCCTCGGCGGGACACTTGCCGGGGCCGGCATTGCGAAACAAGAACAGGTGTCATAAAACACCGCTGCGACTGGGATTTGCATCTGTAATGACCTCACAGGAGATGCTGAGAGTATGATGTTCCTAACAAAAACCTGTCAGCTACACGCCCTGAGTGGTATTCATCACCAGCTCAGCTGCAGCCTACCTGCCGTCCTATCTCTAAACAATGATGGAAAACAGTTTTTTTTTGCGTCTCTTCAACACAATAACATGTTGCTTGTCTTGCCGTTTTCATTACGGCACTCCCTTTGTGTTAGTTTTTTGGCAGAATTATGTGTAATGACAATTTAATATAGCACACCTGGTTGATAGACTTCACAGGTATCGTTGGAAAAGACTTCACGACTGCTGAACACGAGAGGTTTACAAATTCAATCAATCCTAGGGCGATGGACTCGCGTGTTTCAGCTCCCCTGATACCATCATACGTGTTTCATATTTATGAAGAGGCATCTGAAAGGTACTGAACAGGTTCTGCAGCACGTGAAGAACATATCTTTAGATCAAGAGGAGGAATGATTGCCAGCGAAAGCTCAGGTAATAGTGAGATAAGATGGGATTGCTACACGGAAGAGTGTGACCCAGATCCAGCTGCATACAGTACACCATCAGTTCTACTTTTTAAATGTACAATAGGGATATTATCTCAGACATTTCAAAGAGGCTGAGCTG